TGTTGCCCCCTTTTTTTTTTTTTTTTTTTGTTTTTTTTTTTGAGTCAGAGTCTTGCTTTGTTGCCGAGGCTGTAGTTCAGTGGCACACTCACGGCCACAGCAGCCTCGACCTATTGGGCTCAGGTATTCCTTCAGCCTCTTGCCTTCCAAGTAGCTGGAACCACAGGCATGTGCCACCATACCTGGCTAGTGTTTCTTGATTTATTGTAGAGACGAGGTCTTGCCAAGTTGCCCATGCTGGTCTCAAACATGTGGGCCCAGGCAGTTCTCTCACCTTGACCTCCCAAAGCACTGAGTTTATAGGCGTGAGCCACCGCACCCAGCCCACTCCTTCTTTATTGACATTTGAAAGCATTATAAGACTTTAAAATGCAAAGGGAGTTGAACCTTAGTTTAAAAAATCATACAACTTTCTTATCTTTAAATGGGGCCATTTCTTGAACACATTATGTCCTGAAAGATGATCTTGTCATTTCCAGGATTAATCTTTAAAAATATGTGTATGTTCATCCACCTAGGAGCCATGGGTCATCCATGCTGGATTTTCATTAGAGAATAAAAGGTTAATATGTTAAAAGCACACTATTTGTTGCCATAGTTTAAAAAGTTCCATAACTGAGAAATGGCAGCTTTTCTTTGATAACAGACTTAGTGTTGCACCTGTTTTCTAGGGAATGGGGAATATATATGTTGGAAAGAAATGATATGACTCTGGTTCTGTTTAGACTTAATTGCTTTTTCTTTGCTCTTCCAGTGAAAAGCTACTGAAGTATGACCACTACTTAGTGCCATTTACTCTGTTTGAGTTGGCGTTTTTGTATAAAAGCCAGGGGGAAATTGACAAGGCCATAAAGGTCTTAGAAACTGCAAGGTAAGTGACGGAAGGCAGCTTTTCTTTGATTACTGTGGAGTCAGCAATAGTAATACTGTTATAACCACAGCAATAACAGTGCACACTTAAAAATTAATAAATTAATGCCAAATTCACAGTAATGTGACATTTGCTAATATCCGCTTGGCTTATGCTCGTGGCTTTTGCTATAATTGTGCTGTTTCCAACCCTCTTTCTGTTTCACCCTGTGACCATTTACAGATGCGATTGTGGGCATCTATCTGAGAGATTTCTAACTTACTCTGTTCTATATCAGGGGTTGGCAAGCTTTTTCTGTAAATGACCAGATAGAAGTATTTTTGACTTTACAATCTAAGGTCTCCATTGCAGCTACGTAATTATATCAAAAGCAGCCACAGAAGATGTTATGTAAATAAATAGGGTGTATCTGAATTTGGCTCTTGGGTCATAATTTGCCTTGGTCTTACTCTTCATATCTATCATTTTCTTGAAGAGCCCCTGATCTCATGAGCTTTCTGTTTTTACCCCAACTCTCTTTCCTTTCTGTCTACTGTGGCACCTTCTAAGTATTTTTATTTTTTTATCATTTCTGCTAGACAATAGCCCTTAGACTGTGATCATGGCTCATCTAGGTGAGACAAAATTCCCGTGGTCTGTTTGCCTTGAATACTTCGTATAGTGGTGACGGAATGTGAGTCGCTCCAGGTCATAAATAGCCTAGTGGTTCATTGGTTTGTTCATTTATTCAAGTTCAGCAGTTTTCACCAAGCACCTATTATGTGCCAGACCTGAGTAAAGGCTCTAGAGAGACAATTCTAAACTGAACAGACAATGTTTCTGATCTCTAAGCTGGAGGGAGATATTAAATAGACAAACCGGGAAGAAAAATATCGGCGGTATGTGGTTTGCTATGCCTGGGTGTTACCTTAGATTGGACTGATTCTGGAAGAAGTCCTTGAGGAAGTGAAATTGTAGCTCCCAGCATGATTAAAGCCAGCTCTGAGACGATCAGTCACTAGAAGTCACCAGCTGGGTAGGGAGCATTCCTGGAAGAAGCCATATCCAGATTGTGGGATTGAGCTTTTTGGTCAATGATGATGCTTTTTACTGAGGTGGGGAATATTTAGAAGAGCAGGTTTAGGGAGAGAAGAAAGCATACTTCTGTTTGGATCATGACATTTTGAGATAGCTCTTAGGTACCCATGTGGAGATGGTGAGTTGGCAGCCAGATATATATAAGGTAAGGTCAGGGCTGGATGTAGAGATTTTAAAGCCCGCAGTACAGAGATAGGGATATTTAAAGTCATGGTACTCGATGAGGTCATTTTGGAAAGTTGTATAGCTAGAGAAAGAAGTCTAGCACAGTGCGTGGGATATACCATCTTTTCAGAGATTAAACAATAAGAAGATTAAGATCATCTTAATAAGATTGAGTCAGGAAGACATCCAGGAAAGCTGACTGGAGGGTATTTCAAAACAAGAAGAGCATGGCCACTTATGAGGCAGCGCGAAGAGGTCAGGGTGAGACCAGAGAAGTGGCTGCTGAATTTGGCAGCATGAAGGTCACTGGTGACCTTGACAAGTGAGGAGAGACTAGAAATGGAGTCAGTCTCTCTAGCAACTCTTTTCGGATGTTTGCTGTGAACAGAGCATACTCATGGGGCGAAAGCTTCGTGGGCATGGCAGAGCCAAGAAGGGCTTCTTTTAAATTTTAGTTTTGCCCGGGCGTGGTGGCTCAAGCCTGTCACCCCAGCACTTTGGGAGGTCGAAGTGGGAGGATTGCCTGAGGCTAGGGGTTCGAGAGCAGCCTAGGCAACTTGGCGAGACCTCGTCTCTACAATCAAAAAATAAAATGTAGTGTTATGTTTCTGTATATGACATATGTGTGTTTTTGAAGTTAATATGCTGGGGTGAGGATGACTACTCTTTTATCTGTGATAGGTACGTACCTTCAAATCTCACTATTAAAAAATTACAGACTATAAATATCGTTATTCTAGGTAGTCATCGTATAGGTACATTCAGTGCCGCCTACACAATGCACAATAAGGCAACATTTCACTAACCCTCATCAAGGTTGCTAGTCAGTAGCTCTTAGACCTGTGTAAAATGAAGGACTGTCCAAATAAGTGCCACTGCAAAGAAGGAGGTTATAGACTACCAGTGGGCCAAGACAGAATGCAGAAGTGTTCCGTTTTGCTGATCCTTAACAATTTCTACTAAACGGAGGCCTACCTGAATGATCTAAGGCAGGATTTAAATAATCTTTGGATTGTTATGACCCCTTCTGACATTGGACTAATTATTTACTTATTGGCCACACTATTGATATTTGCATGCAAGAATTGGAATAAGTAATTTTGGTGTCATGAAGTAATCCTGCTGTGTTTGCTGCGGTTGTTGTTTCATGAGGCTTTCAAGGTTTTGGAGGTTTCTTTCTTTGTTTTTTGAGTGATTATGTTCACCATGTTTATATGCACCTGCCTTAAAATTTTCCAACTTAAAGAAGGAAGTCTAACTTTTTAAGAATAGTTCACAAAATTTTTTAAGTCCAACTCGTAACCTTCTTGCTGTGTTTGTGGATGTTTTGTTACTTAAGTAGAGCCTTGCCACTCAAAAGTATGACCATGAGATGACTACTAGGAAGCTTCTAGAAACACAGACTGTTGCTGTTTCTTCCCTCCCCACAGAACCAGAATCTGCATTTTATTAAGAGCCATTGTTATGCATGTTAATATTTGAAAGTAAATAAGGGGCCGGGCTCGGTGGCTCAGCCTGTAATCTCGCGCCTTTGGGAGGCTGAGGTGAGTGGATTGCCTGAGCCCACGGGTTCGAGACCCGCCTGGCCAGTGAGACCTCATCTCTACGATAAAACAAAAAGTCAGCCGGGCGTGGTAGCGCTCGCCTGTAGTTCCGGCTACTCGGAAGACGGAGGCGGAAGGATCGCCGGAGCCCAGCAGGTCGAGGCTGCGGTGGCCGGGAGCGGCCACTGCACTCCAGTCTGGGCGACCGAGTGAGACTCCAACTCAAAAAAAAAAGAAAGTAAATAAGGGGACTAGAAGGAGGAAGGGAATGGCAGTACTCTGGTATACAAAGAAATTTTGACTGTACAATTTTATTGTTATTGCCTTCAGGAACAACTACAAAGATTACTCCTTGGAGTCCAGACTGCACTTCAGAATTCAGGCAGCTCTTCACCTCTGGAGAAAACCTTCCTCAGATTGATCAGAACTTGAAGGATGGGATTAGCATGGGCATCTCCTACAGATTAGACCTTCTATTAAAGTGGAAATGTGCTCTTGTGAATCAGAGACAAGAAACAATTTTATTGTCAATATTTTCTATCATCTGAGTGGTTTACAGTTGGTCTACATAATTTTTTTTCCTATCAAATGATGTTCAGTACTATCTAAAAAAACTCTTATATTTTGCCTCTCCAAAAAGAATTTCATATTGGATTTGAACTGGGGTGTAAAGAAATCTTTTAAAAGACTCACAGGTACAATAAAGTCTAATTAGATTATTTATTTTTTTAATGTGGAAATTAGTATTGTTTAAGTAGCAAATAACTTACAGGGTGAGCCATTTTTTAGATTTGTTGGTCATTAAACTTCAGAGATGTTTTGGTGCCTTGTACTTAAATTTCAGAGGGCAAATAATCATCCCATACATTTAAAATGACAATGACCTTCTGAAGTTTTCTGAGAGCATTCACTGGGTTGGGATATAGTGTACTTCATAGGTTGAAGAGACCTGTATCTATAAAGGATGATGAAATGTTAAGTTATTGATCTTTTTACTCTGCATGTTGGCTAAAAGTGGTGACATTTTTGGAAGACTATCCTGTTTTTGAATGTACTTAGGTCTATTATACCAACAAAGTTCAAAAAACTCTATGTATCTAAAGGGAAGAAAGTGTCATATTTTAGGAACCATCCTTAACCTTGGCAATGAGAGCCTCAAATACATACGTTAATTGTGTTTCTTATAGGAAGCAAAGTCCCTGCTGCTTTAAATGACATGTAAAATATTAATAGTTTTTACACTTAAGATATTGGTGAGGTCTAATTTTCTAATCTCTAGCACTGTGATGGTTCCTTGTAAATATTTGAACCGTGATTAGTGCTTTTAACTGAGAAACAGAACATGGAGTGGAAGAGAGCTGGACTCTGTCTGGTCTTGGTTGGAAGTTCACCGGGTGACCATTAGGGAGTTCCCCATGCCCTGTGCGTCACCATATTTTCTTCATCTGTGAAGCGGAAAAAGAACAGATGACTTTCAAAGGCTTTTTCAGTTTTGTAAGTCTGTGTGTTACGCATTTGTTTTCACCAAAACACGTTAAAGTGTTAAATCCAAACCTTTCCCACTGAGAGCATTTTATTTTTCAATCATCGCCACACCTCCAAACTCCCCATATGTGTGCTGAGGACCAGAATGCATCCACAGTGAGGAAAAATAGTTTGGGAGTCAATGGGTCTGGGTTTTGCCCTAATGTCTGTTTCTATTTTGAAGAATAACTTGTCATGGAAGCCCCTGCGGTGTCGCAGAAAGAGGCATAGATTGGGAGTCAGGAGTCCATCTGTGGGTTAATAGTTCTATGACATGACTCAGTTTCCCCAGTGTGGATAGCAACATAGAACTTGGTGCTTATGAGGACTCAATTAAATAAGGCATATGATAGCTTTTTGTAAACTATGAAAGGCTATACAAGTATGAGTTGCTGTAATAATTATGATTTTTATGCACTGATAACAGTAACAACAGAAAAGTATTGGCCGAGTCTGCGGTCTTTGTTGTAAAATGAAAGAAGCTTAGAAGTTCATATACCTTTTAATTTATGCTTGTGTTTGGCATTGGCAATATCTCCAAATTATGAACTTGCTATTCCCTGCTACATGAACCTATGTCCAGCAGTGTTTTGTGTTGTTTTCTTTAAGGTACTGATTCTTGACCAATATTGAGAATATATTTCCAATGAAAGACGATGACTATAAATTTGAGTCAGAGTACCATCTCTTCAGATAATCTGGTGGTAGATATCAATTAATATTAATTATGTAACATTACTTTAGGTCTAGACAAAGGAAAATTCACTAGCATTACAGTTAGTAGTGGAAAATATCTTCAAAATCATTCATGTATAGCTTTAGAAAAAAGTTTATACGGTTCTTAGAAGAGTTTTTGTAGCATTATTTTTTTAATGTATATAAACCTATATTGCTACTGTGAGAAGCTTCAAGTCAGTAAAAAATTTTCTTTGGGGTGCAAAATGAAAAAAAGATTAAACTAAGAGTAGTTGTTTTCTTTCAATTTTGTATTAGCAAGCAAATATAAAAGAAATCCATCTATTTCATATACATTTTCCTTTGTTACTTTTTCTTATTTTGTCTTCTTATTACCTCCTATTCCTTCTATAGTTACCTGGTAATACGGACAATCTATCCAGTGGATTTTTGAGTACTGTAATGTTATGCTACAAATATTTGTTTCCTGCCATATTCAGGATATTGTAATGGCACCAGTTTCTTGTTATAGCAACCAATTTGCACTTTGGAGTTATTTTGTGATTTAGGGTGTACTGTGAAGAATGTGCACTAATGTGGCTGTTTTTTACTGAATCTTTTAGGGGCTTATGTGATTGGGTTGGGTTGCCAGTGTATCTGACAGTGCAATTTGTGCAGTTCTGGTCTAATTGCCTTTTTTAAAATGGAGAGGCAGGGTTCTGACTTGTGCTTTGAAAATTTCAGTAGAGGTTGTGCTTTTTAAGAATGGTGAGAGGGAGGCATTATTTCTGCTCGACAGCTGATGAAAGATGAGCTACGTCAGCTCTTATACGGACATATATTTTAATGTTTTCTATGCTCCTGGATACAAAAAGGCCCAAAGTCAAATAGGAAAAAGAAGTTCATTGATTCTCTGTATTCCCAGAGGGCAAAAATGAGAGTAGGTGCTGTCGGGAGGTTAATTCCAGATTAATCAACAATATGGAGGATCGTTTTCCTCATTGGAACAACCCAACAGTCTAAAACAGCATAATCATTTCTTTTGCAAAGGGGTAAGGACCATGTAACTGGTTAGGACCATGTGACTATCCTTCCTGCCTGTCCTAGAAGCTTATACCAGTGAGCTTTGAGGTCACCCTATGATTCTTTGATCAGGACTTGAGATCAGTGGGATGTGTATAAAGAAGAAAAGTCCCCCCTTTTCAAATAAAAGCGAATGTTTCTCTTTCAGAGCTACTATTAGAGGTAGTTGTAATAGACACTAACAGTCCCACCTGGTTTCCTTCCTTCCTGTCTTCCCTTCTTTCCTTCCCTTTCCTTTCCCCTTCCTTTCTCTTCCTCTTCCTCCCTTCCTTCCTCAGATTTTGCTGTATTGGCCAGGCTGGTCCCAGACTCCCGGCCTGAAGTGACCCTCCCATCTCATCCTCCCTAGTAGTTGGGATTTCAGATGCGAGATGCCACACCCAGCTCTTGCCGAACCCATGAACCCATTCGTTGTCCCTTCCTTTGAAGTGAATCTATTGGTGTTTGTGAGTAGGGACTTTTCCCTCCAGCTTGGGCATGAAAAATCACTTTTTATAAAAGGTCTTTGTGGCCAACTGGAAAGATTTATGGAATCACTCTGATGGAGCCTTTGTTGATTTGTTTTCCATATTTCTGCATTTCTTTTTCCTGTTTATACTCTTCATATGTAGGAACCTTAAATTCAAATACATCTAGTTAAAATGAGTTAATGGAGACTCCAGTGATCATTATGATGCTGTAAGATTTTGTGATTCCTCGGGCCTGGAATGGCTCTGAGGAGAGGGTCTCCTCATCTCCAGCCCCTAGATAGTGTTGTTTCTCCTTCCGTCCCGCTCTGTCAGTATGCTAGCCCCGGCCACAAATGACTGTTCAGTGCTCGAAATGGCTAGGGCGCAAGTGGGAATGATGCCAAATGTTGAGGGAACATTCATTCATGCTGCACTTGTATTTAAAAGCCTCCTAATATCCTGCTTCCAGGAGTTCTGGCTTTTACTTGCTGTTTACTTTGATTGCCTGATTTGTGCTTCAAATACGTATATATCTGTGAAGTTTGCTTTTTCTGTTTAAGTGCACTTAAACTTTCGTTTCATCGTGTTTATTCTGCAGATGATCAAGGTCATTGGCATGTTTGAACATTATTCTGCATCCCGCTCCAAACTTTTTATATAGTAAACTAAGAGACTTTATTTTTGAGATTACTATTTTGATTTTACAGTCTTTGCTTTTTCACAAAGTTCCACTGTTAGAATTGTAGAGGAATTACTCTCACCTTTGAGATGTTAGTAGATTTCATGATTAATATTTTCTAAGATAACTATTCTAAAAATTTAACGAAATCTTTTCAATTTCTTTGTTATCAATATTTCAACATTGACTCTCTCAACTAGCCCGATGTGACTATTTCGTATTCTTAAGATACATGTGATCCACTTAGAGAATAATTTGGCAGATGGTTTATTTAAAATTATATATTCTATGCCTTTTACTGCCTACTGATATTTTTGAAAGTGTATAATGCCTAAGTGATTCGCAGATACATAATTAGGACCTATTTTTTTTTTTATCTCTTTAGTTATTTCATAGCCAAATACATCTATCTATAGATAGGTAAATACAAAACAACTTACAAATATTAAATAGACAATGTTTTATGCTGACTTTTCCCCAGTCCAAATATTTACATACTTTTTTCTTTAAGTATTAGAGTGCTTGCTGTAAAACCCTATTTCTGCTTCCTTTTGTTGGTAGTTTTGTCTTTTATACATTTGCTATTAGATTTTGTTACTTTAGAATGCAATGAAAGGGACACATCAGAATTTATCATCAGGGAAATTATCTTTTCTGTTGAACAGTGGCTGTCTGATCTTGATGGCTTGATCCTCTTCTTAGTGGGACGGTTGATGTTCATTCCAGTCAGTCTATAACTTCATAACTGCAGACGGAGAGATGATACAAAGATTATTTAGTGGATTGAGACAGCTGAGCAGGTTCTTGGTCTGAATCATCCAGAAGGGATATGTGGACCTAGCTTCAGAAGTGTAAGCTCCCTTCTCTCCTATTTCCAGTGTTCTCGTGATATGTCTTTAGCATAGTAATACTGTAACTGGGCTTTGTTTGGAGAGATCAAAACAGCCACCGCACTGCATTTAATGAAGAATGCCTACAGATGCCTGCAGGTTGGATATTCAGCAGTTAGAAGTACTTTAATAACAAGCTTCATTATTTAAGTGAAACTTGTGGAATATTAACATACAATACGGCTCGTATGTTAATCCAGTAGTTCTTAGAAACAAGAATTTCAGTGATGATTTTAAGGAATGCTGGCATATCCCATTGGGAGCTTTTGTTTTATTGCTACTTAATATTTTCTAGTAAATTGGTTTTTAACTTTTGGTAGTCTGTTGAGCACCATCTAGGGGGAAAAAAGAAGTTGGTCTCAGTATGGCAGAACTGATAGTCAAAGAAATTGAATACAAAATGAGTACACTAAAGAATATTACTTTATTTTTAAGGAAATTACATTATTTTGAAATGCTGGAAGATCTTACTCAGTTTGAAGGTATGATACACTCTGCATTCAAAAATCATGCAGATATTTTAATTCATTCCTATTTTTAATGGAGACTAATATCCAGGTAGCAATTTTGGGTTATAGTAAGTGAGTTCAGCTTTTATGAATCCACATTTTTTCCCAAAGTGATTTATTCTTTGTGGTAGTAGACAATTGCTTTCTATAGAGTGATTTGTTTTTTCTTTAAGAAAATAATTTACATGAGAAAAGGTATTATGGTAAACATTTAAATCTTAGGCTGTTTGTTACACTTAATGGCTTCAGCACTGTGGGTTCTCTTTGATTTGCAAAAGAACACATGTGCTTCACTGATCTGTGTGGTCCAGAAAAATTATTTAATTCTCAACAATATGTTGCATTCTTATATTGTGTTAAGGAAAATTCTGTAACTGTCTGGATTATATATATATATATATTTTTTTTCCTTGTTGATTGTTGACATCCCAAACACCTGAATGAAAACCAACTGACTCATTTATATATTTGTGTTTTAAAATATTTATTTGCAAATGTTCATAGAACACTTGAATTTTTTATGCAAGTTGCTAAATGATATATAAAGGCATATATATATTTAATGAGTGAGAAGTATTATTTTATTACTGAAATTTATTTCCAAAGCAAATTTATTTTGTAGGTGCTTCATTTGGGAAATTTTACTTTGCCTTAAAACACACAAAGTAAATCATCTTGTGATCTGGCTACCTAAAAACCCCTGTTAACTTGACACAAAGGGGAATTTCAAAATTCTTTGCTAACAT